ATATATTTTTACATTTATACATGTGTTCATAATATTGCCTTACAGTCAGATTCAACAAATTTTGGATGACAATTCAACACCGTCGGAAGGAGAGGAGAAATTAGCTGCTTTAACAGCTGGCGAAAGAACTGCTTGGGCGCAAGCCAGAAAAGATTTTTTCGCGAAAGGTGTAAATAAGGCTTCTTTGGATATTATTGAAAAGGCGGCATTTGTAGTCACATTGGACGATGTACCTTATGAATACGATATAGTACGTTATTTAATAAAATAAAAATATATTGTAACAATATAAATATTAAATCATATTTGCAAATTAATGTAATTCTTATTTATTTCGTGCATTAGAAACATCCAGAAAAATTAGATCACTACGGTAGAAACCTATTACACGGAAAAGGATATGATCGATGGTTCGATAAATCTTTTACACTATGCATTGGAAATAATGGCAGAGTAAGTAATATATATTTATTGTCTTATCTTCATATTTGCATTATAATTGATTATCATTAAATAAATTAATAAGAATTAAGGCTCAAAAAATAAATCAATTACATAAAATTGCCTTGAGAGCTAGACACAAGATATTGTATAATATTGTATGTATAATATTTATTACTTTATTCGATTAATTGACAATGATTACAAATATTTCGATCCTCACTTGAAATCCTTTGCAATGCGATGTAATACAATCTAATGAGTTAATAACCCATTGGATTATATTACGTCAATGTAATAATATAATTAATTATCATTAGCTTCAATGTTTTATAAAAATAATTTCTCTTTACACAGATTGGCTTCAACGCAGAACATTCTTGGTGAGTATATACTTTATAAAAAAATATTTATTTTAAAAAATTGTGCACCTATTTTCAATAGAGACAAATATAAGGCGCGAATTTGTTATGCACAATATACTATGAACACAATTAGACCTATATTTTTATTAATATAAAATAAGACATTACATAAAAATTTATGCGTATATATTGAAACAAAGCATATAATGATAAGTAATGAGCAGGGCAGATGCTGCAGTCATGTCACACTTGTGGGAGTACATATTATGTTCGGAGTTCCTGAACCGACAGTAAGAATTACAATTTATAGCCCGTAGAATATTACTTATTTTGCATATATACATCTCTTCTTCTGCTTCTGTAAGATTACTATTGTACGTTACTTTATCTCTTGTGTGTTAAGAACGTCTATGGAAATAATTTGGATTGCAACATATATCTATATGTTTTTTTTAAATTTAAGATACTTCTTTTTAACAAATTTTTAGTGTCTTAAAACGCTCTTTACAGTAGTCATCTTTAAAGTTCTGTGGGGGTTCATGCTACGCTTATGTTTCAGTTTCTTAAATATTACATTTCCTAGAGGTTACCTATTTCTACCGGATTTACGGATAATGAATGCTTTTTATATTTCTCTTTCGCGTCTTGTCTTTAATGTTTCTTTCTCATATGCTTATTAGGGCTGATGCACCAGTGCTCGGAACTCTATGGGAATTTATTATAGCTGCTGATATTGAAATCGGGTAATCGGGTTATTTATTGTTGTGTATTGTTACACAAGTGTAATGTAGTAGAGCAAATTACTAACCATTCATCTATATCATTCCTAATTATAATTTTATTGTAATTATCATTATACAATGATTAACTTTTCTATGCTTACAAGCGTTTCTATATGTAAATTTTTGTCTGTAATACTTTTTAATCTGTCAAAATATTATCTGCTTCGTTATTGCATTATAAATGTGTATGATTAAGAATGTTTATTTTCAATGAAAAGTTATAGACTAATTAAAATAAATTAATGAAAGTTATTGTAGTTTAAATTAGTTACATACAATAAAATGTATTTATAGATTTGCATGATATTATAAAAAGTATCTGGAAAGTAAGGACCATTTGAATCAATTTATTTTTTATCTTTTATCCATTCTAAGTTATTTAAAATGAAATTTAATACGATAATCGTGGAAGTTAAGTCCTTACTTTTCAAATAATGCATGATAATATGGTTTTCTTCATGAATTTGATTTCTTTCAATAAAATAAAATATAGCTTAGAATTTTCTATCATTTGAGAAATATATATTATTTTCAGATATAAAGACGGACACAATATAGGCAATCCGGAATTTATACCTCCAGCTCCAACTCGCTTGCAATGGGATTTAAATGCCAGATGTATTGAAGTAATTGAACAATCTTATCAGGTAATCTCATGTTCTATCTAAATGTAGTATATGTACTATATTTAACGAATACAATTGATTTTTAATTCAAAAGGTGGCGCACAGTATATTAAATGATGTTGAATTACGCGTTTATGTGCACGATGCTTATGGTAAAGGTTTGATGAAAGCTCATTCCATATCACCAGACGCCTATATACAAATGGCGTTGCAATTGGCTTACTATCGTGATGCTGGCAAGTTTAATTTAACTTATGAGGCTTCCATGACAAGGTTATTCCGAGAAGGTAGAACAGAAACAGTCAGACCATGCACTATTGAATCTTCTAAATGGGTAAAAGCAATGGAGGATAAAACAACAACGGTAAAAACGAATTAATAAATAAAAAGCACATAAATTTGTTTCTCCGTGTATTTCTAATTCGATCTTTTTTCCAATATAGGTAACAGAAAAAGTCAAGTTGCTAATGGATGCAGCAGCACGACATCAAAAAAGTTATCAAGATGCTATGTGTGGTAAAGGAATAGATAGGCACTTGTTCTGTTTATATGTAATATCGAAGTACTTAGAAGTAGATTCGCCATTTTTGCAGGTAATTATTTTACGAGTCGCTATTATGAATATGATATACGTATATAATTGATTAAATATGATCTCATTAAACATGATGAATGATTTTATTGTAGGAAGTTCTAAGCGAGCCATGGAGGTTGTCGACATCGCAAACTCCACACGGCCAAACTTCGAGACTAGATTTGAAAACATATCCTAAATGCATTTCAGCTGGTGGTGGATTTGGTCCTGTGGCCGATGATGGCTACGGAGTTTCTTATATAATTGCGGGAGAAGATCTTATATTTTTCCATATTTCCAGTAAACGATCTTCATCAAGAACGGTAAAATAATTAATACTTTTTGGTTTTATTATTATAATTATTTTTCTATATTTTTTAAATATTTTTATTGTTTCAATTATATATTTCATAGATCCATATATAGTTGATCCGTATATAATTGTTTATATTAAAGTGTAATTTAATGTAATGATATCTTCTAACAAAATTATTTCAATATCTATAGGATGCTGCCAAATTTGCAAAACAAATCGAAAAAGCACTTGTCGATATGAAAGATTTACTAGAACAAAAAAAGAAAATACATCAGAATGGATCTGCGTAACTTATTGAATTACCTGTAGCGTTGTCGAGCAAAATAATTATAAACTATGCAATGAAGCGGAGTTTATATCTCCAGACAACTTTTCTTGGCTTATGGAAGAATTTAATAACATAAACATATTTTAGTGTTTAAAATATAATTTTCTTAAGGCAGAGTTTTTTCATAGATAATTATTTTAATAAATAAAGGTTATAGGAAAAAATAACGGGCCCAAAATTCAAGATATGTCTATGTTATAGACATTACATATATAGAAGTGAATTTTTATAGGATCATTTCACATTTGTCATATATCATTATATATCATTATATAATTATATCATAAATATAATTTTTATTATTAAACAATCATTTATAAATGACAATTTATGCGTAATTTACTAATAATACTGCACAGTGTATGCAAAAGTACAAGTACCAAATTTCTATTGTTTGCTGTACATAATTGCAAATTTAAGAGATATTTGACATTAATATGTGAGAAAAACATAAAAATTGATTAACAAATTTCATTACTTATTAAAAATGTTGAAAATTTTCAAACATATATGATAAAATGTTCATAATATGTTATTAAAGTTAAATATTTTATATTTATTGACAACTAAATTTTGAAAAATTTACCAAATACACACTATCATATTATTGCAAATGTGGAAGCAGTTTAATTTCATCATACATATGTATATCCTATCATAATTACTAATTCTATCATTGTAACATTGAGAAGTGATTTGTATGCAATGCAATTTACGCATATAAGAAATTTTTTTTTCTCCATAAATATACATGAATGATAGACAAGTATTGTCCTATTACTTTAATATGGAGAGACATCTCGATCTATTAGAATCTTATCAATTTAATATCTAATGAGATAGAGATGTGCAACTACAAACATGTGATTACTGATTTCTTTTTTAAGCAAACATCTAAGCGATGCCATATATAATATGTGCAACTTATCAATGCAAAATGTTTTAACTGTAAGTAATTACTAATTGTAAGCAATTTTATACTTAGAAGAAAAGCGTACGATTACATTCTCCTACTGCAGATATTTGTTACAAATATATTTAAAGATATTGGTGCTTTAAATCTTGTTATTATTCAGTAGGTTATAATTAACATTATTGAAATATTTAAGCGCAAGAAAAATGTGAAATGCAAGATGATGAGATAGGAATATCTAACATTGCTGCACACTTAATTTCATCTTTATACATTTAATAAAAGTTCTAATAAAGATTGTAAAGATTAGGTATGAAATATTACAATAGATTTCGTCTTTTAGTTCTGTAAAGTATGACATTTCATTATACATTGAACTTTTATGGAAATTATAATTAGAAATTTGCATAAGGCAGCTTGAAAGATCTAAAGTATGTTTACTAATCGAGAACAAAATATGTAAAATATTGAATGTTGACAGGAAAGAAAATTGCAGAGTATTCGAAATATTTTTGTACAATATTGATAATCGATCAGTAATTCATTTTATACCGTTTATTGATATATTTATATAGAATTCTTTTTTATTACATACAAAAATATGTAATATTTAATCATAACATGAATGTACTGTCATAGAATAAATAAAAACAACTACAGTCGTTTACTTTATATAGTAACAATATTTAAACATCTTTTGCACATCTCTTCCCCTCTCTCTTAACAACAAATGAGAAATTGTTAAAGATGTATACCGGAAACATATATAAATACATACGCGAAAAACAATACTGCATTACGACTTTTTAATAGTGTCTTTACGTGGTTGAATTTTTACTTTTTCTTGCTTCAGAGATCGGTGCTTGTTTGATATCACTGCATTTCGTAACGTTGAATGAAGAAATCTCTTGTTAACGGTTTCTTTAGGTTTCACCCATCCACTGGGACCCATTATTTCGGCCCTTCGCGCACCAAGTCTGGCTTCTTCCAATAAAGCTTCTGCTGCTAGTCTAAATAAATATTTATATTTCGTAATAACTATTGCACAACAAAAGATAAAGTCGTATTTTTGTGTTTATAAATTTCTATTTATTATATTGTTTATTATTTATATACAACACTCATAATGTAGATCGGCAATATAACTTTTATACAGTTAAATTACCTCACTTATTAGCTTCTCAAGAGTCTGATTCTTTAGAAAAATTAAAATATAATAGTGTTCATGCAAACTTCAAAACATTCATCGCTATCCAAATAAAATATTATTTTTATAACTTAATTTATTTAAAAGTTTATTCATAATGTGTCCAATTTTCTCAATGAAAAGCAAGGATAAAAACCAGTCGTTGTTCGTATATTCCAAACGAGAATTTTCCCTTATACATATCACATTGTAAATCATTACATAAATGTAACAATGTTTGGTGAAATCGTACAATTACCTATTTAATGTTTCGTCATCCATGTTTGTTTTGTCGCAAATTGTTATTCTCAAATTTTCTGAAAGAAATAAGCGAAATTATTGCATAAATATTACAGAATATTCGCGATTGCACGTACGTTGATTACGTTACAAATGCGACAATGCCCACCCTACTGAAAAAAATCATGTCACACAATTGCATTATGAAATCATGTAATTAAAATACATAAATCATGTAATGAATTATTCCAAATCAGTATGTGATTTTTTAAAATTACTTGTAATTTGAAAAGTCACATGATGATATGTCCTTTTTCCTTCTATTTCTATCATTCAATTCTTTAAAATTTGACAACTATAAAATCACATGATAGATAAAATTATTTCTAATATCATGTGATTTTTCGAATTACGTCATTTAAAAAAAATCACCTACTGATTTGGAACAATTTGTTACGTAATTTACATATTTTAATTACATGATTTCATCATGTAACGTTGTGACATGATTTTTTTCCAGTAAAATGGTGTATTTACAGTCTTTCTAATCAAACATCACGTAGCATCGAGTCATAATTTCTTAAAGATTGTCAATTTTATCAGGAAAATTCGCATAAAATTGTGATACAGTAACATTATATTACAGTAACATTACAATAATGTTCATAACAGCTGATGAGGTGTGGTCATTTTTCACAGCTGATTGATGCCATTTCCACCAACATAGATTAACTTTAATCTCGGTTCAACTTACTCTTCATCTTTTTCTAGTTCTAAAGATTAGAAAAAAACAAAGAGTAAGTTGAACCGAGATTAAAGTTAATCTACATTGGTGGAAATGAGCATGAGTCACGGGAATGTTTGAACTATGGCCCTGGTATTCATTTCTTTTACAATTTTAATGTCATAAACTGATCAGAGAACTGTATTAACATTTAAAGATTACTTAAGACAATCTTAAAAAATAACTGACTTCGTATGAATATCGGCCTATGACACTCGGGATTATTAGCCGTAGACGAATGCGATTATAAGCAATAAATTATTGCTTTCTTATTTCACACAGAAATTGCGTGGAAAGTTAGTCGAACTTACTAAATCGTGCAACGTTAATTACCGCAATTCATTAAATTGACACTTTGAAATGGAATACCATCAACTTGATGATGTTATTTGTAAATTATCTCTTAATTAGATCATGGATGAGATGTCAGGAAAAATACGTTTGTACAATCAATGCGGGGGTCACTTCTTTCTTTTTCTCTTTGAGACTCGAAGATATTATCCTTATTTCACTTTCAAAGCATGACAAGGTTGAACAAATTGAACTATACTGTCGAGATTCGAGGATTTCGAGGTGGGCACAGACTTTGGACATATGTAGAAAGGAATTTTGCTCCGCAGAGCGGCGCGACACGTATAGACGCCACAGACTAGGCATGTGAATAAACAATTATCATCTGGTTATCGTCTATGGTAGGTTCTCGGCGCCGGTCAAAGTGTCATTCTCCTGGTCGTTAGCCTGACAAAGAAAGATGGAAACACCAACGAAAGTGATCGCGGAGCTTCGCGAGAAATTTTTCAAAAAATTGGAGGAGGAAGGACCACCCGATTCTAGTATGTACATATTATAGATCCTTTTCTGTTTTTTAATGAAACGATTTTTGATATTATAATGTTAATTGATGTGTCATAAAGATGCTCATGTAACATGTGCAAAGGTCGTATTCAGTCGCGATCGTGTATTTAATTAAAAATGATTAGCAGCCCACTTGACTTTAACAAAGGCATGGATGATTGAAAACTCTTGCCTATATCATTGTATTAATTACTTATATGGAACCAAATGCTAAAGAAAATTGTAGTTGTTTTTTCATCTGGAATCTATTCCTATCTGAATTTGATTAATAATTATTCATAGGAGGTTTCCACACTGCTGATATAGCCAGGATAAAAAACAATGATGATTGGCTGAAACGATTTTTGGAACATCATGAGTTTAACGAACAAGATGCGTTCAACATGCTTTGGGAAACTTGTACTTGGAGAAGAAAATTTGGAACAAATGGTAAAACTATGCATGTGAATCTTATGCTTGACATTTTCAATTTTTATTATTCTCTGTAAGATATTAACATTTTAGATTAAAATTGATAAAAGTTGTTTGACAAGTATATACATATCTTAATTTGAATATAGTGTAAGTTTAATTTTTTCGATAAGTATATAAGCTTATAAACATCCTTAATAGTAATTAAACAAAAGTATTCAGTGCTGAATTATTCATTCATGAAATGAAAAGTACTCGATACTGAAAGAATTAAAGTTAATAGAATAATGTAAAACAAAATGTCTTTCTTTCTCTTCTTTCATTCTAAATCGAATTACAGATATCACCGAGGATAATGTTAGGAGAGATTATTTAGAAGATGGTGTAATCTTTAGCTATAGTAAGGATAAGGATGGCAAAAAACTTTTTGTAATTAAGTCAAAGTTGCATGTTAAAGGAGTAAAAGATTTTGCGGAGCTTCAGAGATGTATAGTTTATTGGTTCGAAAGATTAGAAAGGTATTGGTATATTTATTAATTTCCTTTTTTTTATATAAAGAATTATAAAAGGCATTAATATATCCGCACCTTGTATACTCTATGGATGTTTTTTATTTATTGTACTTTCAGAGAAGAAAATGGAAATCAAATATCACTTTTCTTTGACATGGTAGATGCTGGACTTTCCAATATGGATATGGAGCTTATTAAGTATCTCATTGGTTTATTCAAATCTTATTATCCAAATTTTCTAAACTATATCATAGTTTTGGAAATGCCCTGGGTTTTAAATGCAGCTTTTAAAATAATAAAATCATGGTTACCTGCAAAAGCTATTCCGAAAATTAAGTTTGTTAACAAAACCACATTAAAAGATTATGTCAATCCAAACGATGCACTGAAATGTTGGGGAGGTAACAATGATTACATCTTCAAATTTATCTCAGAAGAGCAAACAAATGGAGATAGCGTATTAAATGGTAAACTGGATAATAAAAAGGTATATATACATATATATATATATATATATATATATATATATTCTTATGTCATTGCCATAACTATATGTTAAATGAATAAGATCAAGATATTGCTTTTACTTGATGTGTCACATTCACTATGCTTTTTTGTCATTGCACTATATTCTTTTTTCTGTTATTATTCTTTTGTTAACTACATTGATTTGTTTTCAACATCATTTCTATTTCAAATTAGTTATCCCGAAAAAGAAAGTATTGAACAAAATGGAATACGTAGAAAATGTATATTAAATTATTTATAAGTGTTAAAGCATCTCTATCCAATATATTATTTCTTTAAACATACTCTATATATTTTGTAGGTACACTTTGTAGACAATTCACCACTTACGGAACAAAGTCCGACTAGTATTGGGGACCAGATCAATGAAGAACAACGTATGTACAAAATTTACATACAAATTTGTTACGTCATACTACAATATATAAAAGATTTATTTAAATAAATTATATTTGCTTCAGTCTTATCTATAGAACCCACGGAAATAATTACGTTTAATAAAGATGGAAATGATGTCACTGGGACAATTACACTTAAGAATATTACAACTGATAAATCTTTATCTTATAAGGTATATAGACATTGTTATTCGATTATTATAATAATAACAACTGAGAAATGTAGCTTAACATAGGTATGGTAATTTTGTAGATAAAGACAACATCACCTGAGAAATTTAGAGTACGGCCAAGTTCAGGACTTTTGCAACCATCTGAACAAAGAACTGTTATGGTTGTATTACAATCTGGCTATAATATACGTGGCCTATTAAACAACGATAGATTTCTAGTCATGTGCTTCCCCTTAAAAAATACAAACACTGCTACAACGCAAGAACTGAATTTACTCTGGAAGGTAAATTAATGTTGATTTAATATATTATATATGTTTTTATGTTGAGATATCAACAACTTCAAATTTAAAATATTGTTAGGTAAGATCTTTCACATAATAATATTGTCTTTTTGTAGTCTGAAAAGGCAACAGAAATGCACAAACTACGATGTTGTGACGGTGCTACTGAAAATAGCGAGACACAAAAATCTCATTTTATGCTAACTTCTGCAGTAGCAGGAAATGATCATATTGATGTATTTTCTTCTAAGGTATGTGACCTAATATTGCAGTCTTAATTTTCTAAGTATATATTAAAATAAACGTTTCTAAAAATACTAATGCATTGTAATAATTTGCAGATAAATCATTTAGAAAAACACAATAACAACATATACAGTGAAATCGTTATTGTAAAATATATGCTTCTAATTTCAATAGCATTGACGATTTTAATGGCAATATTCATGGGTTATGTTTTACAAGTGGATATTAAAAATTTGATCGATCAGCAAAAATCCTGCCGGATTCCTCGTGATACTTAAAACATATTTTAAAACACGTGTTTGTAATACTAATAACTTTGATATATAAAATAATTATAGAAAAATAATTAGAAAATCTTTAAATTGAATCTACAATCATGTAAAGATAAAAAATATCTTATATTACACAATATTTAACATGTTAAAGTTTTTATACGTTTTCTGTTCTTCCAAAAAAAGATCTATGTTTATTTGTAATTTCTCTAAATTAATTTTATATCTCGTTAATTTTTTATACATTATATATATATATATATATATATATATATATATATATATACATATATACATATACATATGTGTAATAAATCATCTAATAAGTTACCATGTGGTATTTTGTAATACAAGGCATGAGAAAGTACAGTATATTGTAAAACTATATTAAAACTGCTATTTTTATACATACTCTATGAAATATCCTTATTGTATTAAACTTGAATGTAGATTAGCATATGTATACGCGCAAATTTTTGTATATATATATATATCTCTCTCTATCGTTAATGATTTTATTTTCTTTATACTGTTGTATTAGTTATGACTTTAATGTAGCTTGTACATGATTCCATAATTAAATTATTTTGAAAATACATGAAATATATAATTATGTGGAAGAGTTCACTAATCATTCACACTTGCAACGACTATATGCTTTTATATGCTTTATTTCTTTTTATAATTTCATTCAGTAATAGTAATTTCGATCAGTATATTGCAACAAATTAATATCGCGTGCACGAAGCATGATCTTTCGACGCGACGATACATTAGAATTAGAAATATGAGTAGTTTTTTGCGAAAAAAAATAATGGGCAGTTAATATCCATTTTCACAATGTAGATTAATTTCAATGTTGATTTAATGTACTCATCTTTTTTTAATTCTTAAAATTAGAAAAAGATAAAAAGTCAAACCGATCACAGTTAATCTACATTGATAAAAATGGAAATAACTACGTACATACACTTATGAATTAATAATAATCCGAGTTTCGCGCAATTTCCGTTTATCAAATGACTTTAAAGGTCTGTTCAGACAGACTCGCACGATGCGAAATATGCGAACGCATAGAAAAATTAACCAATCAATCCTGCACAATAAGAAGTGGACGCAATAGCCAATCGCCTCCTTCTACATATCACTCTTGCCGGAAAAAGCAGAAAGTTGATTGGTTGCCATGTCAGCTTAGGTACGTGGGACGCGTGTAAATGCGTTTCGCATGTACGACGAATAATGTGCGATTAAAATTGGATACGATAAAACTTTATTTAAATCGACTCTCATATAAAAAAATGTTATAAAATTAACATATAAAAAATATATTATATTAAACATAAAGAACTTTACGATTGTGTACGATACAAAGGGCGCAGTAACATGGCTATTCTTAGCGTTCGATGCGCAATGTATCATTTTTTTTTTCGCGCGTATATATTGCATGATAAAAATTCGCTTAAATGGATTTGAAATAATTGGCAACTGAAGAATTCTAAAGCATTCGAACCTTACGAAAGGTCGACGTCGTAAATCGTACCTTCCAGATTCTAGAATGTTTAGAAGATATCAGAAAGAACAATCACGGTCGGCGTATAAACACGCGAGCGTGACGCGTGACGTGCCTAGTGCGCAGCTGCCAACGCGCAGCACAGCGCAGCATTTGAACCATCGCAGTTCGATCGGCCATATTTGCTCTTATACAACGCCCTCACGCGACGATCGTGGGTTTACGTGTATATTTGGTGGCTTCATATCAACCCATCGGTCCGAATAGCGTCGACAATCGTGTTCTACGGTGACGTTTGGTGAGTTTCCACGATATTCTAGCTGGTGGACAGTCCCGAGACGTGCCGAGCGATCCCTCAGTTCCTGGTGGCACGCGGCGCAACGGTACGGCGGCATCGTCGCACGATGTCCTCCATATTGATGACAGCGCCGACGGTGATAATTTTCTGAAATTTTTGTCGTTAATGCCCCCTGTGTCCTGAAATCGAAAGCACCCGCGTTTGTCTTAAAAGCTCCCCGACAGAATGCGCGACCTCGTGGGGCCCCCGCCGTGTGTTTTACGAGAGTCCGTGAAATACGGTGTTCCCCCAGGTACCCGCCCGCGTCACCATGGCGTTGCTCACCCGTTCCTTTCTCGTCTCGCCTTGCCTCGCTGGCGTTGCCCGTCATGGCGCGCTCGGCTTCCCTCGTACTTGCCTATGGCGTCGTATATCGGCCACCTCTAGCGCCGCTGGCCGCGTCCGATGGCAGCGCGTCGCCGCCGTCGCCGCCGTCACCGCGCACGTTGCCCCCTTGATTATCGCGCGCGTCGAGACACGCCGAGAAGCGAGCGCCCCGCCGTCGTCGCGGGCGACGCGACAACCGGGATGTTCGTCTTTGCTCAACGAGCGCCGGGCCCTCGGCGCACCACATATTTCTCTTCTCCGTCGCATTATCGATTCCTCTTGTTTAATTTGATCACGGCGATGTCCGCCGTCGAGATTGCTATCCGCTCGTCGTATCCTCGGGCGACGCTCCGAAAGGAACGACAGCCCGCATCCTGACCTACAAAGATGTTTTCGGTTTCAATGACGGTCAGGTTTATTTTCCAATCTCGCTCGTGTTTCCTTTCCTCGCAATGTAGACTCGCGATTTTTTAAGCTTGCTTTCGGTGATTAATGAAAAGTAATAAAGTTAAACTAGAAAATTGTTGCTTTGTTCTACAAATCTTTCAACTAATCATTACTCGTTTTGCCTTATAAACGGGAATAGGGCGTGTGTGAAGAGAAATTTGTGAAAAAAATGTGAATTTACAATTCGTATATAGTGCATATTTAACATGGCTTTATGCTTATTTTTAGAATTGTTATTGATATAAAGGTGTTATTGATATTAGAAATTATATTATTTACAGTAGAGTAGTAACAATTCAACACACATATTTCTAAATTATCTGGACTTATATCAATAATGTATATATATTAATGATATAATGTTTCAGACTGATGAACATAGCTACCATTGTTTGAGCTGTATGCTTCAATCATGAGTAACGTAGCTGCTATAAAATTGGAAGAGGGACAAGAATCTGTCACTGAGATACAAACTTACTTGGAGACATTTAATAAAGAGATTGAGGGTGGACAAGGCGAACAACAGTTGCAACATGTGCAATGTTAGTATCTCACATAGCAGTTTTTTTTTTACAAATATTTATATTGTTCAATATTCTATCTCTTAGGTCTGTTTCAAAATACATTGCCAGTATTGAGAACTTATAGTATATATAATAAACTAAAGATTTTAAAATATATATAATTTACTATTCCTAAAAAATTTTTATTTTAGAAGAAATAATTTAAACAAGATGGAAGGATTTCAAGGTTAATGCATTTTGGTCATGTTTTTATTCTAAATGGACGAATCAAAAAGATATGACAGCCACCTCTACTTTTTGAAATAAAATTATAAGATTTTTTTTTAAATAGTATAGTAATTGCTTTAATTATTTTGCATTATAGAAGATTATTTTGAATATTAAGTATAAAGATACAAAAAAACCAAAATTTATGAAATATTTAATTTTATGTTAACATGTGTTAGAATAAAATACAAAATACTTCATAAACTATTGGTTTTTTAATATTTCTACTTTATATGCAGCATAATAAGAGGAATCACTATGTAAACAAATCATAATTTTATTTAAAAGTGTAGAGATTATTTTTATTTCTTCTTGGCGCTACTACTAAGAAAAACAACATGACCAAACACATCTTTCTCGAAATCATTTCACTTGGTCTGAAATATTTTTATACACATACAACACACACACACACAACACACACACACACATACACAGCTATATATACACATATATGTATAGAAATGTGGCTTTTGTCTTCTTCGCATTCCAACTATGCTTTCACCTCTCTCATTTTACTGAGTAAAACAGAGAGAGAGAGAGAGAGAGAGAGAGAGAGAGAGAGAGAGAGAGAGAACAATAAGAGTTTTGCTTAGTAATTGACAGCTACTATTCTTTTTTATTTTTTTGTCTTCCTCAAAACAATGGAGAGGTCAAATCATTTAGCTCACAAAAACATTGAAAAGATTTGTTTTATCTATATATCTGTATATGTTCTTTGTATATATCTGTATATGTATCTGTTCTTTGTATATTTTTATTATAGTGCAACAAGTGGAAGGATTATCTGGTGGAGAAGAGGGTGGGACATACTTTGTTGATCAGTCTGGTCAATATTATTACCAGGCAAATAGTGACGAACCACCTGTAATGACACAGGTACAAATACAGGAGGTAGAAGAGACCGATGTACAAAACGAAGGTGATGCAACTCAAGATGAACAATTTCAAGAGATCGAAGAACTTGAAAATGCTGAAGGTGATGAAGAAGTGAGTAATGATAAATTTATAATTGTTGTCAACGATTGTAATTTACAAAACACAAAAACACAGCTATAAGTACAAATATAAATGTTAGGGACAAGTTAACAGTGAAAACAATCAAGTTGTAATTAACTCTGGCGATGCATATCAAACTGTCACGATTGTACCATCTGATACAAATCCTGGAGAAGTTAGTTACGTTTTGATAGTTCAACAACCTGAAACTGAAGAGAAAGAAAGTAAACCTACAGAAGATGATGCAACAACAGTGGCAGTAGCAGCAGCAGCTGCTGCTGCACCAGCTGAGGGAGAAGAAGCAGAAGGTGAACAAGATCTCACTGTATATGATTTTGAAGACAATGAAGACAATGAGGCTCCAGTTGAATCTGAGACAGAAGATGACAAAACTAAAATTATTAAGTTCCTCCCAAAGAAATCTCAAACCGTAACTCAAGCTCATATGTGCAACTACTGCAACTATACTAGCCCAAAACGGTATTACTTTTAGCTTGCATAATTATTTTTTTGTAATGTTTTTTATGTTGGCACGTTCGAAAATACCATTCGAGTGATTCTATGTATCATTTTATTTTTGTTTAACATTTGGATATTTATTAACAAGGATATAAAATAATTTACAGAAACTCTCGGATATTTTCGAACGTAGCCTTGTATAATTTAATTTATTTTTGAATTTATTATCGCACATGTACCTAAAGAAACGGTATGCTAAATTAGACAAGTAAATAATAAACTATTTTTTTATGTATATTTATATAATAGATACCTTTTGTCACGACATATGAAATCGCACTCAGAAGAAAGACCACATAAATGTAGTGTTTGTGAGCGAGGATTTAAAACGCTAGCTTCACTTCAGAATCATGTTAACACTCATACTGGGACCAAACCTCATCATTGCAAATATTGCGAGAGTGCATTTACAACTTCTGGTATGTAATTTGATCCTGATTACTTTTTCTATTTACACATCGTACATTGAATTATGTAAAGGAAATGTAAGAAAATATATAATATATTTGATAAATTTCAAAATTATTTTATTTTGTTTTAGATATAATTAATTAATAGCATTGTTTATTATACATTAAATATAATTATTTAAAAATTAACAGTGATTTTGCTAAATTTTGTTTTTAAGTTAGAAATGTTTGATTTATCAAATGTAAATGCTTGCAAAAAAATACTGTATAATATATAATTTCTATTTTCATATATTTGCAGGTGAACTTGTAAGACATGTTCGCTACAGACACACTCATGAAAAACCACATAAATGTCATGAGTGCGATTATGCATCTGTTGAATTATCAAAACTAAAGAGACATATTAGATGCCATACTGGCGAACGACCCTACCAGGTATATATTCTTATTTTTTCTTAATTTAATTTATCATAGACTATATTTACACAGCACCCTTAATCGGGTTTAATAACATCTATAGTTATGAAACTGACCAATTACAGTTATTACATTTTTGCGAGGAACAGCTATGATTGGCCATAACTATGGATGTTATTAAACCCGATTAAGCGTGCCGTGTAAATGTAGTCATATATGCGAAAAATATGTACATAAAAACTTTATAAATGCACTATAGGCTGCGTTCCATTTGTTACTTGTATTATTCTTGTTTAACATTTGATAAACAACAAGGCTGAAATGATTCTAAGAATTTTGCAAGTTCTAAGTGGAACATAGTCTATATGTAGATATGTATGTATGAAGAATAAGTTGCATGAACACAGAAAACTGAAAGTCTATCAAGTTTATTCTTCCTAGAATTGCAGTTCTTTTATAAATAATATGTATATAATTTATGTATTTCCTTATAATATTTTTGACTAGTTTTTATTTTAAAATATTATAATGATATTTATGATATTTAATGTAAAAAATATGTTTTATTCTTAAGAATATAGTATTGATTCTGTAACAATGACTAATAAATATAATATTTAATTATTTTTTTAGTGTCCACATTGTACATATGCAAGTCCGGATACATTTAAACTAAAACGTCATCTTCGCATTCACACTGGAGAAAAACCATATGAATGTGATTTTTGTCAAGCAAGATTTACTCAATCCAACAGTTTGAAAGCGCATAAATTAATACATAATGGTAAGTTTTATATAGAAAAATACATATTGTTTCCAGGAAGTCTTTAAGATCAATTGAATAAAATAATAATGGCTTTAGTATAAGGAAATTTAAAATAATGTTATTTATAATTTAAATATGATATAATTTGCATACCTTAAACATAAAGATTTATCTAACACGGAATGCTAGAGATCCGGGTTTAATTCTCAGCATTCTGAGGTAATATTTTTTGCAATAAGTTCTCTCTCTCTTTACAGATTTTAAAATTAAATTTGGAGGAAATTTTAAATAATAGTTTTAGATTGATTATGTTGAAAGTTCGATAGTATAATAATTTTCTGAATAATTATTTTTTGAGATAAATTCATTTAAAGAATACGTATACACGTATTAGTTTAACATCTAACTTCGACCGAAAGTTTGCACTTTTTATATTTAGATGACATAAAGATTGATTTTTAAATTGACAGTACGATATTCGAACATTGTATTCAGAAATTATAGCATTCGCGCATTGTATTAGTATTACTTTTAAAAAAACTTGGCAGAAAAAACTGTATAAATATAATATATATTTTTTATTGTATCTTATAAGATAATACGGATTCAACCTCTATTTGACGCAGTTCCATTATACAAGCAAATAGAGAAACTTTTTAAAAAATTGACATGTGTTCGGTTTTTATG